GTCGTGATGGGGAATGCATGGTGGCAGGAATTGTGTCACATGGTGTTTCACAGTCAGGAAGGAGAGAGGAGAGAGAGGAGGGGGTAGAGAGAGACAGAGACAGAGAGAGAGGGTAGGAGAGGGGGAGGACAGAAGGAGGAAGAAGGGAGGGAGGAGGGAGGGAGGAGAGAGAGAGAGAGAGAGAGAGAGAGAGAGAGAGAGAGAGAGAGAGAAACAAAAAACAAAGTCCCAGATACTAACTAGTGAGGATACAGGGTCACCTGTAGCCCAGGCTGGCCTCAAACTCACTATACGGATGGCCTTGAACTTCTGGTCCTCCTGCCTCCCTACCTCCCAAGTGATGGGATGACAGATATTCACCACCACACCCCATTTATGTGTTGTTGGGGACTGAGCCCAGCAGGCCCTCATGCAGGCTATGCCAGCCCTCTATCCTCTGAGCTCCAGCCTCAACCAGGTAACTTTCTTTAAAGCACCTGAAGCTCATTCTGCTTCTGTTCTGTTAGGAGCTGCCAGTCCCAGCTGTAAGATCAGTACTCTAGATTTGCAAATGCTAAGGCAGGGCTGGCTGTGGCTTGAGCACTTGTTCAGCAGGTGCAAGGTCTGGGGTCCACCCCAAGTATGACAGAAAGTCTGTCTGACCACTGTTCCAAACTGGGCACTTGGTCCTTGCCCAAAGTCCCCTAGCTGTACCTCCCACCTGCTGCTGGAGGTCCAGCCCATCTGGTTCCTCACAGCTCAACTCTATCCCAGCACAGGACCCCTCCTCAGATTCTGTTTTCACTGAGCCCCTCCTGATAGAGCCCCTCCCCAGCACCTGAGCCTGCTAGAGCTCTAGCAGAATTGTTGCACAAGAGGAATAGTGTTAAGCCACTAGGATGAAGACAGGATTCTAATCCAGTACTTGGGAAGACTGAGCTAGAACCACTACAAACCCAGGGCATGCCTAGGTTATCAGGGGGACCCTGTGGAAGGACAAGAGGGAACCACTGGATAGGATCTGATTTGCTGGGGTGGGGCTACGGCTTTAAGAGAAACAACTTGGGCTGAGGATGACAGAGACTATATGGGGGGAGTGTGGCCATTGCAAGGGAGGGGATGGTCTATTTTGAGATCCTGTACCTGCTCTAATCCAACAGGAAACTGAGCCTATATGGATCAAGAGCTCCAGTGGGTAACTAAGGAATAATTCCAGCTGAGTTAGACCCATGCTGCAGGGCTAGAGCAGTACATTTCTAGCCAGAAGACAGTGAAAGGTATTTGGAGGACAGTAAGTTACCTTTAACTCAGTGTAGGATAAAAGCAAATAGTCAACTGCAACCCCTTGGGCCTGCTGCATGCAGCCTTTATTACTAATCCTATGTCTGGCCTGATGCTCCCTTTGTACAGAAGCATCACAGACCACACTGGCCAGTCTATGAACTGTATACCTGTTCAGGCCAAACCCCTACCTTGAAGAGGACTGCCATGCTCACAGGAGCAAAAGGAACATTTCTTTATTCAAGTTATGTATTTTCAGACTTTTTTTTATTTTTGAGGCAGGCTCTCACTACAGCCTGGAACTCCCTATGTAAACCCAGATGGCCTCAAACTTAAGATCTTGATTCTCCTATCTCTCCCATATCTAGCAAGTGAATCCTTTGTTAGTTGTTTTGAGACAGGGTCTCATGCAGTCCAGGCAGGCCCAACAATATAAGTGAGCTCTTAAAACAGCATAAAGAAGCCAAACTTTGGGGTGCTTTAACATTTACTGGTTTCAGGCAGAGACAAGTAGATCTCTGTGAGTTCAAGGCCAGCTTGGGTGCACATAGCGAGTTCTAGGTAGTAAAACTTGTCTGAAAAAAAACCAAAATGTACTGGTGTCTTATTTGACCTAGAACTTGAGGGGCAGAGTCCTCATTCTCATTCATTATCACAGGTTCCTGGCATGCTTGTACTTGGACAGAGGGGTCCTCCCAATGTTCACTAGAGATGTGTGACTCTGGTGTCCACTGTTCTTGAGAAAACTAGTCTCTTCCCCTTACAAAGAAAGAAAGGCTGTTGGACTGTCAACACTAGGATCTGAAGTGGAAAACAAGAGGACAGACTGCACAGGCCAGCATGCCTGTGAGGATGAGCATGGAGGGTGTGTGCAAAGCCTTAAGTGCACACTAGGGGGTGGAGGCTGGCAAGGTGGTTCAATGGGTAAAGGTGCTTGCTCCAAACCCGAGGGCCTGAGTTAGATCCCTGGGCCCCACGAACGATTCTTCCAAGTTGTCCTCTGCCCTTCACACATATACACACATGTATACACACACACTAGTACTACAGTATGCTGGTAATCATGCTTGTAATTCTGACATTAAGGAGGCTGAGGCAAGAGGATGACAAATTCAAGCATGGGCTACATAATTTTAGTTCCAGCCAGCCAGGACTAGAGTTAAGATCTCAAAAACAAACTGTTTTTACAGAAAAATGGATTGGGGTATTTTAACTCAGTGGCAGGGTGTGCTGACTACGCAGGGTTTGACCTCAAGCATCACAAAAGATGGCTAAATCTATTTTAATCCCTCAACCACTGTATAATCTTCAAGTGGCATGACACAACCAAAATCAACCTACTCTGGAGGAAGGAAGATCAGAAGTTTGAGCCAACCTGTGCTACGGGGTAGGTAGGGGTGGGGCATCAAATGGTTCAGCAGATGAAGGCATTTGCTACCAAATTTGACCTGAGTTTAATGCCTACTTTTCCAAGTGTTACTGCTCACCTGGGGGTGGGGCAACTATTCAAGAGTTTCACCACCTAACAAGCTTATAAAACCAGGCTTTCAAGTAGCTACCTGTCTCAAAAAGACCAAAACAAACAAAACCACGTATCTATATATTTAGGCTAGTATGATTATAATTTGGGGGGGGGGGCTTTTTGACACAGGGTCGCCCTGTAGCCCCAGATGTCCTGGAACTATGTAGACCAGGCTGGCCTTGAACTCACAGAGATAATGCCTGCCTCTGCCTCCCAAGTGCTGGGATTAAAGGTGTGCGCTACCATGCCTGGCAGTTCTTTTTTTTTTTTTTTTTTTTTTTTAAATCCCTTCTTCCAGGCATGGTGGTGAGCTACTTTAATTCCAGAACCCCTAAGGCAGAGAGACATATGGACCTGTGTTTAAGGTCAGCATGGCCTATACAGCAAGTTCCAGAGGCCATGAGACCCTGTCTCAAAAAACCCCAAAATCTGAAACCATTTTCCTAGAATAAACATTCTAATTCTCTCATCTTCAGAACTGTATTTTATTTTAGGTAACTGTGTGAACACATAAAACATTTAACTTTTAAAGCCTAACACCTACTTCACAGCTACTTTAACATTTTCCTACCTCATTTAACAAACCTGGACATACACTGCACCATGATAGGCTTTACATCCCTATGGAAAGAGAATTAAAACCAACCAACTAACCAACCAGGGCTGGAGAGATGACTCAGTGGTTAAGACCAGCAACCACTCTTGCAGACGACCAGAGTTCAATTCCCAGCACCCACATGGTGGCTACGAACCATTCTTAACTCCAGTTCCAGGGGAATCTGAAGCCCTCTTCTGACCTCCGTAGCACTGGACATGGGTGCAGTCACATACATGCAGGCAATACTCATACCATTAAAATAAAAATATTTAGAACACTCAACCAAAACCAAAAAGAACCAAATAACAAATCAAAATCAAACAAGTACAGAAAATGTGGGAATGCAAGAACTTTATTCAAACTGTAATGAAACCTGCCAAAAGCTTAAAAGGGGAAACTACGACACCTCCCCTCAAACCCAGGAACAAGCACACAGAGGGCTCTTTCCAGATGTTGTAGTGAGAAAGGTGCATCCATCTTGCTGCAGTTTGACAATCTCAGTGCTGGGAGTGGGCTCGACCTCCAGGGTGATGGTCTTGCCAGTCAGGGTCTTCACGAAGATCTGCATCCCACCCCTGAGGCGGAGCACCAGGTGCAGGGTGGACTCCTTCTGGATGTTGTAGTCGGACAGGGTGCGGCCGTCTTCCAGATGCTTGCCTGCAAAGATCAGCATCTGCTGGTCGGGGTGGATGCCCTCTTTGTCCTGGATCTTTGCCTTGACGTTCTCAATGGTGTCACTGGGCTCCACCTCCAGGGTGATGGTCTTGCCAGTCAGGGTCTTCACGAAGATCTGCATCCCACCCCTGAGGCGGATCACCAGGGGCAGGGTGGACTCCTTCTGGATGATGTAGTCGGACAGGGTGCGGCCGTCTTCCAGATGCTTGCCTGCAAAGATCAGCATCTGCTGGTCGGGGTGGATGCCCTCTTTGTCCTGGATCTTTGCCTTGACGTTCTCAATGGTATCACTGGGCTCCACCTCCAGGGTGATGGTCTTGCCAGTCAGGGTCTTCACGAAGATCTGCATCCCACCCCTGAGGCGGATCACCAGGGGCAGGGTGGACTCCTTCTGGATGATGTAGTCGGACAGGGTGCGGCCGTCTTCCAGATGCTTGCCTGCAAAGATCAGCATCTGCTGGTCGGGGTGGATGCCCTCTTTGTCCTGGATCTTTGCCTTGACGTTCTCAATGGTATCACTGGGCTCCACCTCCAGGGTGATGGTCTTGCCAGTCAGGGTCTTCACGAAGATCTGCATCCCACCCCTGAGGCGGATCACCAGGGGCAGGGTGGACTCCTTCTGGATGATGTAGTCGGACAGGGTGCGGCCGTCTTCCAGATGCTTGCCTGCAAAGATCAGCATCTGCTGGTCGGGGTGGATGCCCTCTTTGTCCTGGATCTTTGCCTTGACGTTCTCAATGGTATCACTGGGCTCCACCTCCAGGGTGATGGTCTTGCCAGTCAGGGTCTTCACGAAGATCTGCATCCCACCCCTGAGGCGGATCACCAGGGGCAGGGTGGACTCCTTCTGGATGATGTAGTCGGACAGGGTGCGGCCGTCTTCCAGATGCTTGCCTGCAAAGATCAGCATCTGCTGGTCGGGGTGGATGCCCTCTTTGTCCTGGATCTTTGCCTTGACGTTCTCAATGGTATCACTGGGCTCCACCTCCAGGGTGATGGTCTTGCCAGTCAGGGTCTTCACGAAGATCTGCATCCCACCCCTGAGGCGGATCACCAGGGGCAGGGTGGACTCCTTCTGGATGATGTAGTCGGACAGGGTGCGGCCGTCTTCCAGATGCTTGCCTGCAAAGATCAGCCTCTGCTGGTCGGGGTGGATGCCCTCTTTGTCCTGGATCTTTGCCTTGACGTTCTCAATGGTGTCACTGGGCTCCACCTCCAGGGTGATGGTCTTGCCAGTCAGGGTCTTCACGAAGATCTGCATTGTCTGTTACAAAAAACAGGATAGGAAAGGCATAAATGTTTTAGTAACATTGAAATAGATTATCTACTCTTAAAAGTCCAACATAATGTTCCAAAGGCAAAACTTGACAAAAAATGGAATTCATGCCTGAAAGTCATGAAGAAAACCTGGGTTAAGTCTACCCATGTCTACAATCCCAGGAATTGAGAGGGTCAACACTGGAGAATCAAGAGTTCAGTCTCTGCTATATGTTGACTTGAGGAATGAGGTTGACAGAATAGGAATTGGGCAGCCATTGTTGTAGCCTGAAATCTGAGGTACAGACATCAACAGGAGTATCCCAAGAACATTTATAGTAAGAGTCCCGCCTTCTCTATATATAGCTAACCTAAGACAGTCAAAACAAGTAGTGTCCTGCCACACCAAGCAGCCAAACACAGTAAAAACATTTATGAAATCAGGATCTAATTTTAAAAAAACATCCCGAATCAGAGCTGAGGAGTTCAAAGCTCTGGCACCGGCTACTTCGGTATGAATTTGCAAACCTGACCTCCAAAACCTCACTTCCCCTTAGGGTTTCCGATGCCTGTCCACTCTCTTCCAGGTTACCTGAGGCCGAGGCTCGAACCCTGTGTCCTCCAACGGAAGGTAAGCTGGCAAGGGGTGGCCGCGCCCCGCATTGAACGCGCAAACGGCGACGTCACGTGACCGCCGTGCCGTCACGGCACCCGCCGCCCCCACGCCCGCCAAGTGGCTCTTCCGTGTTTATAGTCACTAGACCTTCGACCTCTCCGGTTCGTCCAACCCGCCAAAGTACTAAGCCCTCGCCATTTCCCGGCCGCTCAGGCTTGCTTCCACAACCTCGGCACCTGCAGCAAAGCCGCGCTGCTTCCCCCTGAGGCTTCCACACGGCCGCCATCTTACCGCGTCCTCTACCGCTTCACCCTCGTCCCAAGCTGCGATGACAACCGCCTCAGCTGCCTCAGCTGCCTCCCGACCCTCCCGCCGCAGGGCCCCCAAGTCCCACGAAGCCCCGCGAGCGCTGCGGCCTTCTCACCAGCGGCCGAAGTCCTAAATAAAGACCAGAAACGGAACGCGTGATCTGGACGGAACTAGCTGCGTTCGCCCCAGCGGCGCCTTATATAGCTCCGGGAGGCCCCGCCCCTCCCCTGTGGATCCCTCCGCAAAGCCTGGAGGGAGGGACTACTTTACGTGACCGCGCCTTTACATGACCGTCCCTCTCCCAGCGGCGGAGGCCTGTGGCCACATCCACGCCCCATAGGCTTCTCAGCTGAACCTGGAGCGTACCAGGCACCGTGCGGAGGGATCCACGCGTGTGCAGCCGCAACAGACGCGAAGGGTGGGGCTCGGGCGGTGGAGCGCGGGTGGGGCGAAAACCCGGCGCGGACACGGTCGGCGGAGCGGACTGGGTCCGCGCCCCCCCCACCCCCCAAGCAGAGATCTAGCCGCCCACCTCGCGACCCCTTCGTCCTAGCTGACCGAGGGGTTCGGTTGGTGTCACATGGCGGGTCCCCGTGCTGCTTTGGCGTCCTAAGTCCCTTCCTCCCACTCCGGGCACCATGACAGGGAGGATGACTGTGCAAATCTCAGCGGGGCCTTGGGGTCCAGAGCCCATGCTGGGGACCTGAGCAGGGAGAGAGAACCTAGGCCTGAGCTGGGGAAAACTGGAAAACGCACAGAGCCTCGGAAAATTAACAGGCGTTGTAACAGAAGCTGTCAGAACTTTCCAGGCTGTTCTTGAGCCTTTCTGTTCTGCTCTGTGGCCTGGAGTTAGGGAACGTTCTACAAGACTGTCGCCAAGGAAACCACGATTTCAGCTGTGTCCGCTGTTTAGCTCAATAATTACTGTTTAGTTCAGTAATTGAGCCCATTGGACTCAGATTTTTTTATTGAAACTGCAGGTACATCCCCAACCCCTAAATTCATTAACTGAGATGTAAATAATTAAAAATTGTACATGTAAGTGCAGTACTCAAATCCCAGCAAACGTCCACCCAAACAGTGAAGACATTTGAAATCCTCATTCTCTTTTCAATGTAAGGCAAGGCAGATCTCTGAGATCAAGGCTAGCCTGGTCTACGTAGCAAGCTCCAGGCTAGACCCTGTCTCAAAAACAAAAGTAACAAAGCAAACAAAAACACCCAAAATGTAGTTCTGCTGGCAAATTATATTTGATTTTTTTAAAAAATGGAGGTAGGCTGGCTCACCTATCATGTGTTTTAGTTTTATTACTTTGTGTGTATGAGGTGTGTGGGTCTGTGGGTACTGTGTGGAGGTCAGAGGACAACTTTGTGGAGTGTTTTCCCTCATCTTTATGTGGATTCCAAGAGAGATGGTTTATTTTTACTACAACCTACCTATATTGTCAAACTTAGGTGTCATTTCTTCAGGATATTTTAGCCTCTGAATATACATGAACATGGTAAAATTTTAAAACAAGTTTTTAAAAGTTTACAGTCAAAGATTGCCCTGATGACCTTAATTCTCAGGCACTGTTTCTTCCGGACTCTTCTACAAATGATCCCTATCCTACAAATCAGCGGTGAGGGGGTATGTGTGCATTTGAATTCAACCTTTAATGCTTCAAGGAAAAGAAGGAAAAGTTATACTAAGTGAACAATTTTCAGCCACTAAGAAGAGCCTTATTGCCAGGTGTGATGGTGCATACCTTTAATCCCAGCACTTGGAGGCAGAGGCAGGCAGATCTCTTGTGAGTTTGAGGCCAGCCTGGTCTACATAGCAAGTTCCAGGCCAGCTGGGGCTACAGGGAGACCCTGTCTCAAAAAAAAAAAAAAAAAAAAAAAAAAGTCTTGTTTCAATCATAGATCTGATTTAAACATTATGCTTAAAATGCAGTTTAAAAAAAAAAAGTTGCTATACATTTTTATAGTGTAATCATTGCCATACTCTCTGCTATGACACTGTAAGACACCAGTGTGCATCTGTCCTTTCCAATGTAAGACACTGAGAAGAACAGACTTCTGTCATACATTTTATTTAACAAACCACAGAACACTTTCTGTTTTGGTTTAGATAGTGAATTACCTTTTATTTATTTTTGAGACAGGGACTCTCGTAGCCCAAGCTTGAACATCTAATCCTCCTGCCTCCACCTCCCGGAGGCTAGAATGACAAGTGTGGGCCACCATACCCAGTTTAAGCTGTGCTGGGACTAGACCCCAGGGCCTCATGCATGCTACACAAGCATTTTACCAACTGAACTATACCCCCAAACTAGTAAATTCTCTTTTAAAGAGATTGAAATAATGTTTAATTCCTACACATCCTTGGTAATACTAACAGAGAATCTTCATGGGTCTCGTGGTACACCTCATTTTTTTTAAATATTATTTTTATGTGTATGTGTGTTTTGCCTGCATGTAGGTAAGTGCACCTGTGTCGTGCAATGCCCCAGGAGGACAGAAGAGGCTGTGGGATCCCCTGGAACTGGAGTGACAGTTGTTAACTGTCATGTGGGTGCTGGGATTCAAACTTAGGTCTTCTGCAAGAACAGTCGGTGTTCTTAACTGCTGAGCCATCTCTCCAGCCCCTACCTCATTCTTTTATACAAATCAATATCCTCATTTTGTCTTATGCAGATCAATACCATCTTGTCTCAGTTCCCTTTTACTTATTTGAATAGTTCTTGTGTATTCTCTGAGTGATAAATTATTTTTTGTGCATGTTTATGTATCTATCTGAAAACTTCTATTTAACCTTCATTTGGGCCTGTATGAGCACTGGTTGTTAGATTAAAAAGGTGGCAGGGGTCGGGATCGCTGCGAAGCAGAAGCAAAGTGGCAAACTCTGGCAAAGCAAGAGTTTAATTAGGTTTGGTGGGGCTGGTCCTCAACTTGGGTGTGAGGAAGAACCAGCAGCCTAAGGGCTGCAGAGGGGTAGCTTATAAAGGGAAAGAATGAGGAAAAAGAATATTTTTCTGCTATTTGGGACTGTTTTGGGAGCTGCTTGCTCAATGGAGGGCGTGGGGTCTATACCTGGTGAAGCATATTGGGGAAAACAGTTACTGTAAAACTTGTTTTTCTACAATTACAGAGTTCCAGTAATTAACTGCAGCTAAGGGCTTGGGAAACCTGTTTGTCAGCCTGTGGGCATGCTCTGGTGATCACAATACATTGGTCATTAATTTCCCAGGGGCTGCTTTTGTTAAGCAGGTGGCTGGGAGTTGGTTGACTCAGAGCTTCTCTGAGGAGCTTCATGGTTTCTGGGTCTGGGGTCACCTAGATCTGAGCCCTATCACTGGTCACTGCCCCATCATCCTTTCAAAAGGTTCTTTTTGCCTAATCTAGAAGTTTATACCTACGATCAACCCAAATTACTGAATACTTGGGGAAAAAGTGCTGTATATTTCCCATGGTAACCTATGTGTGTGTTTATTTTATTTTATTTTTTTATTTTTGTTTTTTTGAGACAGGGTTTCCATATATTACCCAGACTGGCCTGGAACTCACAATGTACCAGGCTGGACTGTAACTTGAAGTGATCTTCCTGCCTCTGCCTCCCAAGTGTTAGACTACAGGTATGTAAACCATGCTTATGGATTTATGAAAATTCAAGGTCAGAGGTGTTGTTCAAAATAGATTTTAACATCTGTGATTTTCCATGAATGAATTCATGTACTACTAGGGAATTAAAATGGAAGCTGAAAATGTGAATCTGCAGGCTTGGTGGGACACCTCGGTGATTTCCAGTGTAGATTTCTGTGAAGGTCCTTTCTAGACATCAGAACCTTGGTAAGGAAGGACACTTCCAACTGAGAAGCCACACCCTGCTTGCTGCTTTCCGGCTGTTCTTTTACTGGTGTCTTGTGATTTGTGATTCAGAGCTGAGTCATGAGCTCTGTGACACAGCTTTTTTCAGAGTCCAGAAGGTTCAGAGACAAACAGCCTTGATTTCAGAGGTAGGGGAGGGAAAAGAGGAGGAGGGACTAGGAAGAAAGAGGCTTGAGGGAGTGAGGGGACAAGAAACAGTTACGAGGGGTGGTGGTCAAAATTCATTATATACATGTATGAAAATGTCAAAATGAAACCCATTGTTATATATAATTAATATATGCTAGTAGCTGGGTATGGTGGTGCATGCCTTTAATCTCAGCACTTTGGAGGCAGAGGCAGGTGGATCTCTGTGAGTTCAGGGCCAGCCTGGTCTACATAGTTCCAGGCCAGCTGGGGTTACAGGAAGACCCTGTCTCAAAAAGACCAAAAAACTTAAAAAATAAAAATAAATAAAATTACAGTTTGTGTGTGTGTGCACCATGGCACGTGTTTGGAGGTCAGAGGACAAGTCTCCTCTGGTTCTCTTCTCCCATCATGTGGGCCCCAGGGATTGAACTCAGATTGTCAGGCTTGGTGGCAACTGCCTTTACCCCATCTCACCAGTTCCCTCCCCACTTTTTAAATGTTTTTTACTTTTTTTTTTTTGGTCTTTTTTTGAGACAGTCTGTACCAGGCCTTGAACTCATAAAGATCCGCCTGCCTCTGCCTCCCAAGGGCTGGGATTAAAGGCATCCACC